AAAAACTAGATGTACAAAGGGATAACCTAATGGAAATGAATCCAAAAGAAAACATCAAGGATATTCTGATAAAGAGACACAAAGGCGCAGATGAACTTCTCTTAGAAGCGAAACAAATTCTTCTAAAAATTTCTGACAAAAGAAAAGTATAATTATATGTTTTTTACTTGAATTTATAAAGAATCAGTAGAAAATAAGAACTTTTTTCTAAGAAAGTAGATGAGTTTTCTCGGAAAGTAAGTGAATTTCCATGAAAGTCAATGGATTTTCATCATAGATTCAATAATAAGATGAATTTTATATGGACTTTCTAAGAAAGTAAACTTTCGAATTGTAAATAACGTACCCAAAATATCATAGATTTCTTACCTTTAAATTGTAAATAATATACCTAAATCATCTTAGATTTGTACCTGAAATCATACCCACCCTAATAACTAGACCCCAAAAAATTCATAAAATCTAATCCCATCAACATGTAAAAATCTAAAAAAACGTAGCGCAATACTAGGCTACGCTCTGTAAGGGAAGAGAAAACATAAATAGACGAATTAGTTAATTTCTTTTTTTAATTGTTACTAATTAAATCAATTAATTAGAATTTGGAGATTATGATCAGTTGATGAATCGACTTGTTAATTACCTGGAAAACTGGATTAATGGGGAAACAATTTAATTCCTAGCGAGAGAAATTTATTCAAATCTATGATTATGTTTACTTTTTCTTGGAGAGAAAAATAATTTCCATTGGTTTATGTTGACAATTAACTGATTGTTGTTGATAGTTTTGCTTGATTTTTTTGTTCTTGGTCTATTGTGGTTATATTATTGATGATGTTGGTGATGATGATAATATGATTAGATGAGGATGATGATTAAGATGATAAACACGTGATTTAGTGAGTGAGTTGCTTAAAGTTGTTTAAGGTAAAAACTTATTCATTTTCAAATGTTACCTTGTGTTGATTTAATCAACTTTAATAATCATCTTGGTTAATTGTTGATTAACTTTTCAATTGTGTGTAACTGTGTCCACTATGTTTTGATATAAATCAATATAAATGTGTATTAGTTGATTGGTTAATTGTCCTTGATTGTTTTAAACACGAAATTGTTACCTCTCAAATTATTTGAACATTTTTTTTATTATTTACCAATTGTTGATTGTTAATTGTTTCAATTATTTGTACTTTGTCATCAAAGCTTGTTAATTCACATGTCGGATTGATTTAATATCATCAATTTTTCATCTGATTACATTGGAAACAATTAACTTAATTGTGAAAAGTGAAAGTTAATCAACAAGGAAAAGTTTGACTTTCATTTTTTGTTCACAATTCATTGAAGGTAAGAAATTGATTTTTTCCCTTTTCTTAATTAAATTTAATTGTTAAGCCGATTAGGTTGATGATTAAGACTAGTGTTTCTAATTATTGATGGATTGAAGGTTTTAAATATTAAAAAAAAAACCAACAATTTACTGGTAATTAATTACCATAGTTAACTAATTGTCGTTGCTGTTACTGTTTCTGTTTTCTTGGTTCATTTGATTTGTAAGCTCATCGTTTACTTTTAATTGTTAATCAAGTTAATCAATCATTCATATCTAATTTAATTCACCATCTAATACTGTATAGCCAATCAATTAGCTTTACAATTTGTTAATTTGATCATTTACTTTATTAAGAATCGATAACCTTCAATTGAGTTAACTTAATCTTCTGGTTACAATTTAATTTGATTGTTGGAAAGTTAATCGTTATTAAAATTAAACTATTAGGATGAATATGATTAGTTGATTCAGTCTGATTAACATGTTTAATAGTTTAATTGTATTGATAGTTTGTAACTCAATTAACTCTTGATTTCTCATGATCATCATTAATTTTACTTGAAATTACTAATTAATTGTCATATTGACGACATTGAATTACAAGTTTAATCGTTGGTACAACAACAATTAACCAATTTTCCTGGTAATTTAATTAAAATCTCACAATAATGATTATCTCATCAAACACTTTAATTGTTAATCACAAACCTATTAGATTAAATTATGTTACAATTCAATTTAAAGTAATGATGAGAAAAAATTTTCTCATCAAATTGAAACAATTAAATTTGATTCTTATCACAACATGGCAATTGTTACAATAACAATTAATAATATCATCAGTTAATTGTTTGTTTGTCCATTAACATATAATATGAAGAAAAAAAAATTCCAATTGTGATGATCAAGGTTCTTGATTGTTAATTTAATATTAAGTTACATTGATGGTGATAAACAATTGACATACTGAGTTATTGATTGTTGTTGATTGTAAGTGTGACAATTAACAAATTACAAATAAAATATAACCTCAACGTATAAGGAGTTAATCAACATGAGAATTAAGTAAATATAGTTAATTGTTTACCTTAAATTGTTCATGAGATTTGTTTTACTATTAGTTAACTACAACAATCAAGAGTCAGAACTTTGTTTTTTAACCAAACAATTTAATCATCATCACAATTACCTTAGATTTGATATTAAATATTATTGTTATAAACAATTTATTATTACATGAAAAACTACAATCAACAACTAAATTAAATTTAGGATTAGAGAAGCATGAAATTGTTCAACAATCAATCAATTGGTTATATAAAAATTAATCATCTTTTAGACAATCAAAATTAAGTTGATCAATTGATTGGTAAGGTCGTTTGGTTAGTGTAACTTACCAACAATTAAATTAAAAAGGATCAAAATTAAGGTGAAATTGATTGTTAATTATCATAAAAAATGGTTAACTATTTAGTTAAATTGTGATTGATTGTGTGAATCTCTATGTAAATCATATGAAGGGTTAAGAAAATGATTAACATTGATTGTGAATGAGTGAAAGTTAATTGTTAACCAGTTCTTATTACTAAACTGGTTTTATAAATGGTTGATTATTTGAGCTTGTCAATTGATTGAATTGATTATTACAATTGAACCTTTTTAAATTGTTATAAGACAATCGGAAACATCAAGTTTATCATGATGATCAACATTAAAAGAAATTAAATTTCAATTTTCAATTGCAATTAAATTGTTGTAATTCATTGAAACTCTGAAAATGGTTAATAGTTGGTTAACCTTGAAATTTGATTTTTCTGATTAAATTAAAAACAGTTCAACAATCAACGCAATTGGGATTGTAAATCTCTGAGATTATTTGATTACTAACAATTAACTTATCATCTTTGAATCAATCAACAGTCAACAATCAATTTAAAGTGAAAGTTAATCAACTCATATTGAAAATGGTATTTTCCAATTAACTGAATGGTTGATTGTTTATTAATTCAGTTATTGATTTGATTGTGAGATGATGATGATCTAATTTCATCACCACCACCAAGTTAATTGTTCAACTATATCACAAATTGTAGCTCGAGAAAAAAAAATAATCCAAACTAATCAATGACAATTTATTAATCATCCCAATAGGTTGGGAAAAATGATCTGATTTGGTTTGCACTTTTTTGATTGTAATCATGATTAGTTGATTAAATTTGTGGTTGCAAAAAAATAAATTGTGTCACCATGATGATTAAGTTAATTGTTGGTTATTATGACGATGATTAGCAATAAAATATAAAAAAATTTCTTGATTCTAATAATAATAATTGTTATTTTTGAGTCTCATGATTAACAATCATGTTAATCATTAGCAATTATTTATGAATCTTCAATATAAATAAATATGAATCATTAAACTTTAGTTTAATGATAACCAACAATTAAGGATAAAAAAGTAATCAACTTTATCAAATTATCGTCATGATTAACTCAATTGTTATGGTGACAATTTAAATGATATTCATGTCTGTCTAATCCATACAAATTTAATTGTTAGTAATCAAAAGATTTAACCGTTGACAATCAAGTTAATTAACTTTAAGCAAACTTTTTTTTTACTATCATCATAGTTAGACAATTATGTTTACATGATTAGAAAGTGTTAATTGTGATTTAAATGAATTCACCTCTTCCTGTTCATTGAAAGCAACAATTACCACAATTTATTGTGTTAATTGTCAATGATTAACTTACTATTCTAATGATGATGACCTTGCCATCTTAATTGTTGCTCAATTAATTTCCTCAGATGAAAGTTAATTGTAATTTAATGAGAAATTAATTTCCCAAAGTCTAATCATTAGACAATTGTAACATTTTTCCCCATCACAATTTAAAGTATATTAGGTTAATCGTAACTGGATTTACAAATTGTTATGATTAGTAAAATTCACAGTTGTCTAACAATTAACCCAAATAATTTATTTTTAACTTGATTTTTTCAAACCATAATTTAAATTGCTCATCATGGTTGTCAGTTGATCATCATAATCAAGAAATAGAGAGACAATTAAATTAACTCAAACAACAATTTAACTTTTTTATCTTTATGATTTTTGATTAGCAGGATTTCATCAACAATCAACATGATCATCATTCATGGTTAATCAATTAAATTACAATTAATGGGTAACAAGTTAATCACGATTTACGATTATGACACAATTAAAAATAAACTTAAATTTAATTAATTTCAATCAACTTTGATTGTTAGAAACAATAAATAACTAAATTGTTAAACTTATCTGAATATAACTTTGGACAATTTATTGGACAATTAAAGTTAATTTTAGACAATCAATTAAACTGTTTTCATATCTATTACCTAATTTTGCTTGATGACCTTTATTTTGAATCAAATTTGACTAATTAATTAGTTGATTGTTGTGTTGATTTACATATACGATAAGTAGGTTAAGATGAGAGGTGACAATTTGTAGGATGTTTTAATTGTGGAGGTTGATTGTTGATTAAAACCTTAGATGGATTTTATAATTCATATCTTGATTGTATTAGCTATTAAATTAATTATCTTGGTGACACTAAATTGTTACACGATAATTTTCATAAAGTTCAACAACAATTAAACAAATCGCCTCCACAATTAACTCATCATCCTACCGGTTAAATATTGGTAACAATTTAATGTGACATCCTAATAACCTAAATTAACCTAACAATCAGTAAATGTTGAAAGAAAGTGAAAACTATTTTGAAACAATTAACACTCACAATCAATAAATCACATGATTGATTTCAATTGTAATTTACTTAACTAATTCGTGATTAGTTCAATGATCACGGAGTCTTAATTTTCTTGTGCTAATATCAACATAGGATTTAATCACGATCAAGTTTAGTAAATTGTTGTTACTATTTGTTGAAGGGTTAATCAACTTTCAGCAATTTAAATTGTTTTTTACAAAGTTATTGAATCAAATTTAATAAAAAAAATCACCATCATAATGTTGATTACAATTTAATCGTAACAACAATTAACTTTTCAATCTAGAAGTTGAGAAAAAAACAAAGAATCAAAATATTATTATCAACGAAATGATTACAATTTATTTAGTAATAAATTACCAAGTTAATTATGATGAAAACAAAATTAAACCTGAAACCATTGTTAACTAACTATCATAATAACAAAGTTTCAAAAACAATTAACTAACAACAATCAAGTTATCATCATGATGATGATCATCAATAAATTCAATGTTATTAGATAATCAAGTTAACCTCTTTGGTAAATAATCAGTTTCAAACAATTTCAAGGTTCTAATTGTTGGGAAAAGTGATTCAATTTACATGTTAATTGTTTGTGATCATAGACACAATTTCCGTAAATTGTGGACAATTAATGTCAAGTAGTTTAGTATTTCCTAACACTATCAACAACTAAACAATTACAATCAAATTTAATCATCATCTTAATTTTTTTCAACTCCTTTTTCAAGGTTTTCCAGTTTTAAAATTAACCAACTTGTTGAATACAATTGACAATGATTGTAATTATGATTACGATGATTGTAATGATGATTAGCTGCTAATTATAATTACAATTTGACCTTAATTTTTTTCTTGCCTTGTAACTGTGTAGTTTAATTGTTAATCAACCTACGAGATGATTAACGAAAAAAAATTAGATTTGTAACCTTTAAGATGGCGTTTTTTTTGCGATTTAATTTCCAAGGCTTTTTGTCTATGGACTTGTCTTCAATTTATCATCATTATCATCCTCCTTCTCATCTTAACTGTCTTAATTTCCTCTCTCTCCTTAATCATCATGATCAAATTTGATTGTGGGCTTTGATTGTGATCAAATTGTGCAAAGGAAAACATTGATTTCCTTTTCATTGGAAACCTTGTTTTTTTTTGTTCATTTCAATGAGATTGACTTAATTGTGGATTAATTTGTTAATCAATCAACCCACAATTAACCTAGGAATTGCTATTCTAATCCACTAATTAACTTTCTTAGATTTCCTTGATTTAGTTGTTCAATAATAATACAATTGAGAAACTGATTGAGGTGAAAATCATGTTTAGACTGATTCACTTTGATTAACTTTACAATTTTGGTTAATTGTGATGATCATTTAGATTGATTGTTAATTAAAAGATGCTAATGTAGGAAGGAATTAATTAATTGTTGCGGGTGGATTATTAATTGTATTTCTTTTTATTCTTGTTCATTTAGTAACAATTAATAATGGATTAAGTTTAATCGCCTTAAGGGTTGATTAACAATTAACTGATTTCTTGCACAATCAAGACACGATTTAACTATTCAATTAGCTAATTAGGATCATAATGCTTATTAAGACCATCGAGTTGGTTAATTGTCAGTTGTCAACAATCAACAAATTTAAGGTTATTCAACTGATTTAAATTAACTTTGGTCATGATGATCAATATTGATTAGCTTAATTGTAGCAATTTACTAAGTATTTAATTGATTAAATCAATTGCCCGGCGATGTGAGTAATTAAACAAATTTTTACAAATCATATTTTTTAATTAAAAATATTAACTATGAATTAGTTAATTAAAATGTAGATTCAATTGTTTAACCCTATGGCCAAAGATGATTTAATTTAGTAAAATAATTAACAATCGTGATTAAGGGTCAGAGAGATTTAATTAATTATTTATCAACTTCAACAATTAAAAATGATTGTGATTAAAGGGGAAACCAAATTGAATCTCTGTTATTTATTAATTCGTGATTAATTAACATAGATTTTAATTAGTAAATGATTAACTTACAATGAGAACAATTAAAACTTTTTCTTTTTACACAATTAATTAATCTTCCTATTGATTAATAATCAACGGGTCAAGTTAATTGTTCAAAGTTTAAAAGATGGAGAAAAAATCACAATCAATTGATTATGATCAAGGTTATCACAATTTATTAATCATCTTTTGTCAGGTAAATTGAAACTAAATCAGTTAATTGTTATTGTTTTTCATTGGATTGTTTTTTTTTGTATTTTCAGGATTAAATTGTTAACAATTAACTTGATCTTTTGAGCTGATAATTTTTGTGTGTTTGATTATCAACAATTTGTGGTAATTGTTGCCGGGAATAAACAAAAATAAAAGGCAATTAACTGATCACAATCAAAATTGATTCTTGGATAAACCTTATTTTTGGTTCTTCAATTTGATTGTCAATACGTGTTTTTGATTATCACCTAGATAATTAACTCGTAAAACCATTAACCATAATAATTAAGATGACAATTTGAATTTACAATTAATTTCTATTGTATAACAATTAAGTTAATTTTTTTTTATTCTGGTGAAAGTGTTAATTATCCCGCCAACAATTTACAGTTGATTGGTGTTGAAACTAAATTGTTGTTAATTATATATTGATATTTATTGTATCTTTATATAAATACTTACCATTGATTAACAATTAGTTTAATCATCTTGCGAAAAAGTAAAGTTTACAATTGAATGAACATGAGACAATTGAATCAACAATTAACTTTAACAATCATCTGTTTCAAATCGTTGCTGTTGATTGATTGATTAACGAATTGTTAACAATTAGTAAACTCATAATCTAAATACTGATAACAATTTAAATAGACACAGAAATTGAATCAAGGATTTTCAGATGATTCTAAAAGGTAAAAGATTTAATAACAATTAAAGTCTATGAAACTAAATTAAAATTAATTGTTGAGCAGATTGTAATTGTTTCTGTTTTTGTAGTTTGTGCGTTAATTGCTCACGAGATATTTTAATTACTACGAAAATATTTAAATTGTTGTCACGCAATTAACTTTTTTTTTTAATATTAATCAGATGAAAAATATTTAACTATGGACAAGTTAACTATGGCATCTGTAGTTAATAGTTGTAGTTAGTTAATTGTTATTTTAAATTGTTGATTCTGATTATGAAGATGATGTTAATTGTTGTGTTGTTGTTGTTTGCTTGATATTGATGACGATTAACTTATGGTGTAGGTTTTGCTTTTTCATCAGCTAAATTGTTGAAGGTGTTTGAACAATTTAACAATCAGGTTAAGGTGAAACTGAATTTGTTAATTGTTAAAATATTAATCATAACAATAATGTGTATCTATGAGATGGAAAGTGAATCTTGTGAATGGAAAAAAAAAGTTTTCTGATAATTTGCTTTTTTCTCTTAATTGTTGCGATGAAAAAGGTAAATTTAATTTAATTGCCTTCCTTTAATTGTGTAGTTAATTGTGATTAGTGTGTGTGTGAGTGTTTGTGTAGGTTTATGAAAACATGTTTTCAATTGATTGTAAGCGTAGGTTAATTTAATCAAGGTTCATCATTCATCATCACTCATTGATCATTAATTTGCTTCCTTGATTAAGATTATCCTCAAATCATTTGAATCTTATTAATTGCTGATGATTGTGTCATCATCTTCTCACCATTAAAACTTGATTGTCAATTAAATTATTCATTTGCATGCCAATCATTAACAACAATTTAACAAAATTGTTATATTGTTTTTCATCAACTTCCGACAATTTGATTTTTCAATAGTCGGAAATTAAATTTCAATAAAACTTTGGCTTATATAATGTTAATTGTTTCACTTAAATTAATTGTCATGATTAATTGGCAACTTTGTATATGCAAATTATTGATTAAATGCCAAGTTGATTGTGATTTTGAGGTAACAATTTAATAGGAACTAAAAAACTAGATTAAATTGGAGAAACAAAAAAATGATAAAACAATCAAATTAATAAATTGACGTTGAAGTAAATCATTTTTTAGACCAATGGTTGATACAATTAAATTTTGCAAAATTAATTTCTACCAACAATTAACTTAATTGTCTCATTTTTGAACAAAAATCTTACAGATCCAAAATTGGAAAACTTTTTCTCAAGTAACTCAAAAATCATCTTGAAGATCACAATTTAAATGTAACGAACAACAATTAAACCCATTGACGAATTAAACCAATGATCATTAATTAGTTTAATCAGTAAATTATGCCTGGTAGTTTACTAGAAACAATTAATAGTAATAGTAAAAGTGACGAGGAAAAATTAAAATCTTCTCAACGATCAGCAACTCGATTGTCACCATTTTCACCAACACCAAGCGTACAATTAAAGAGTAACAATTATAATCGTAATAATAACAATCAACTAATCAGCTCAGCTCGGTCTGATAGATCTGATGGTTCTAATTGTGATTCGGAAGGCGGTGGATCAACATCAACAACAACATCAACCTCCAACAAAAAGGTTTCCTTCAATAAAGCAGTTCGAGTGAAAAAATATTCATCACCACCAACACACTCAGGTGATTTAAGTGAAAGTAAATTTTGGTTTAGAGTGCACAAGGCCAATAATTGTGACCACCTAAACAACAATCAACTAAATCAACAACAGTTAATACCGACTGATAATCAACAGCAACCACAACAACCACAACAACAACAGCGACATCAACAATTACCATCAACCGATCATTCAATTCAATCCTTACCTTCAAAAGGTAAACTTGATTTATCCTCATCTTTATCATCTACTCATCATCTTGATTCTTTTATTAATTCTAGTCAATTGTTTAATTTAAATTCTAAAGGTTCACCATTGTCTAATTCTGTTAATTGTGATTCCCATTGTGAGACTGTTAATGGAAATCAACCTTTAATTGAGAGTGAATTTAAATCATCATCATCAACAACAACATCGCCATTGAATAAATCAACAACTTCTATTGGTGATATTACCTCAACAACAATGCCTCCAATTAGTAGTTCTCGTAAAAATGGAGTTAAAATAATTGATTATTCTGTTGATGATCAATCAAATGGAGGTGCTGATGATGGTGGGAAAATGTCCACATCAAAAGGATCAGAAATTGATAATCATAGTAATTTAAAATCGACCAGTGGAAAATCAACTCAACGAATAATCAATTACGAACCTTATAAAAGTGCCTCAACTATTGCTCTTGATATTGATTCCTCTTTAAGGCCTAGGTCACCTTCGCCCGTTAGTAAAACTGGACGACATTCTAGTGTTGATAGTGCCTCAAGGAAAGTTAATCCAACTACTGCCAATAACAATAATAACATAATTGTTACCAATTCAATTCGACCAGGATCGGTAGTGAGTGAGGAAATTATTGAAACTAAAACCGTTGAGAAAAAAAATCCTCTTCTCAGTGGAGTTAAGGTGATGTTTGGTGTTAAAGCCAAACGAGCGCCGACATTTCCAACTATGCCAAATCGATCTAAATCAGTTGATCGAACCAACAATTCAACAACAATCAAGCCAATAACAACAAACAAAACAACAGCGACCATTGTAAGACCAACATTTGCCTCCAGGACAACATCGTCCACCTTAAAGTCAAGAGATTCACCACAAACCAATTCTTCAACTCTACGATCTAGACAATCAGAATCAACTAATCAGCCTCTTAAATCATCGTTAACAACATCTCGTAATCCACCATTAACATCAAGCCTAAAGAAAACACAAGCACCAACACCAAGTAAAAATGTTCGTGATTTAAGCGCATCTCGTGTCACAACTAAATCGCCGCCATCGTTAGTGTCCAGTGAAATTAACAAATTGATGTCTACCGTGTCCACTACCAAAAAACAGCCATCGCCATCTACGACTCTGAATGACGAAGTGACCAGTAAAAAAGAAATGGACCTTAAAGGTGATGATTATGTTGATACCGTTGAAATGGCTCGTGAAAGGCCAGCTGATCGATCAACAGGTGATTTAACTCCTGTTTCTACCTGGAATTCAGGTCCAGTTTTAATTTCTAACGTGGCCAATAAAGAGACAAGTTCGTCTTACATTCCCGGCGAGGGTAAATTAATGGCTTCTTTTGAGGAAGGAACCAAAGTTTGGAAATCAAAATCTCGCCGTGTTTACGAGGAGCCAATAAAAATACCAAGAGAAACTTCAGTCTCTCCTGAAAGGCATGATTCAATTTCCCCTGAACGATTAACAGTCAAATCTAAATCTCCTGATAGACAATCATCTTCATCTCGTAACCAATCACCTGATCGACTTTATCGAAAACATCAAAGTCGTAAAGGGTCACCTACAAGAGATGAACAATTATCACAAAGTTCAATTGGAAAATCGCGTCTTCGATCAATTTCACCTGAACGACCATCATCATCGGCTGGTTATCGATCACAAATAAGACACAGATCACCTTCACCGATAATGATTGAGAGAAAATCTCCCGCCACAACACCGATAACCGTTGACATTGAGGAAGACGCAATTGACGGAGGAGGATTAAAGAAATCAAATCGAACTCGATTTTCGCCTACACATGAAACATTTTATCGATCATCATCTTCGATTAGTGATAATCACAAATCACTTCCAACTGCGGATGATTTGGACGAGAATTTCCTTCGTAAAGAAGTTTATCTCAATGACCGTGAACCAGATCATGTCGATCACGACGATTTAATTGTTGATTACACACCTAAAATGGAGGACAAGGCCTGTCAATGTAACCTTAAAAGGTCAAGTAAATATCGAGGAAAGGAGGAGACCGATTCACTTTGCGATTTAGGATATCGAGTGATTAAACCAGCGACCGATGGGTCAGTCTCAACGTTTTCCAATGTTCCTGATATTTCAGATGCTGAGACTGAAATTGATCGACAATCAAATAGACCAATGAGTCGAGATGGTTCACCAATTGTTGACCGTCGATCACCACAAACTAATCATCATCATCATCATCATCGCCCAGAAGTAATTTACAGTCAAATTGATCGAACCAAAAAGCGATCAACTAATCAATCATCACCATTACCACCAGATGATTATCTTGACCATCATAATCTTGACCAACCAGGTGAATATGGTCCAGATGATTATCTTTATGAATCTAATGCAATCAAATCAGCTCGATCATCGGTCTCACCAAGTAGAGGTGAAAACACAAGACGCTCAATGGAAACGTCCTCATATCGACATCAATCACCTTCGCCTTCACCAAGCCGTCGGTACATGTTTGAGATCGAGCGACAAAGTAAACCCGATTTACCTTCGCCATCACCAAGGCCTCCAAATAAAACTGTTTCCGTTGCTCATAAAACCTATGGGTTCAACATGAGAACTGCGTTAGAAGCTCCCGAAGTTCACCTTCCAACTCGACCTCCGTCAACGAAGCCCGTTCGAGTGATTGAAGCCCCTTATCACCATCACCAACCACAACAACACCCATACCACCCACATGACGAATTAATGTCGCGATCAACGGGTGGACGATTAGAAAGAATGAGAGATGAAAATTTATCGGGCGATGAGTTGATTCATAATCGTCGAGGGAGTATTTCTGATCCCGATGATTTGATTGCACCAAAATCAATTATTCGTGAAATTGATCATCGAAAGGGGGAAATTAATTATGAAAATGTTACACCACGAAACCGTTCAACTGGAATTCGTGGGTCAATTTATGAAGATGGACAATCAACCAACAATTCCATGTGGTTTAGGTCACTCGAAGATGATTATCGAAAGGGTTTATCGGATCGGGAATCTTTCAACAATAATATTAATCATCATCCTCATCATCATCATGACCCATCGAACCATACAAATGTTACTGATTATTGTACCATGTCGAGGCGTGGCCGTGATAGGTTACCCTCATCTCGAGATGTGGGTGCTGATTATCATCCACCATCAACTATGACACACGCTTATACACTTGATAGAAGGCATCTTGACCGTGCACAAAGGTCAAAACGACCTGGACAAGGTTATTCAACTGCGGGATCACATTTAGGTATTTCATCACCATCAATGTCAATCAATGGTCACAATGGGTTGACCTCAAGTGCCAATAATAATTCACCATCAATGGCAATGAGAAAATACAATTCAACCCGTGACCTTTCACATCTTCATTCACAATCAGATTTTATTGATAATCATGGATCAACTCGAGGTGGTCTTGCAGCCGCTTATAAGGCTCGACAACGACGGGCATCATCATTAAGCCGATTTGGACAATCACCTAATGGTGGTTATCATTTACCTGGTTCACCTTCATCTAACCTTTACCCTCGAACAAGTCATTCAGTTTTATCTTCATCAAATTATCCTCTTCATTCAGGTTCACACAGTCAACTACATCGACTTCATTTAACTGGATCAGAAATTGGTGGTTATCATCCTCATCATTATCCATCTCATCATCATCCATTAAGATCATCAGCTTCACATATTGGTGCATCTTATGGTCACTCATCGTGTGAAAGTGACGCTGGACTTGGTTCTCACCAACGAACCATCAGCGGCTCTCGAAGTAGACTCAACCCAGCTCACCATCAGAACGATCCAGTGGTTCTTTATATTCCAGCAATTAGTCACCATAATCGACCAGTAGATGAAGATGATCGCAATTCAGCCCTTGGAATCGCTCGAACCCAATCAATCCTGTCAACCTCAAAACGAACTGGATTATCATCGAAAAATAAAAAACGTGATGAAAGTAAAGATCGTGATTCCAATTTCAATGAGATAACCAGTAAAGTTAATGGTTATCTGAATAACAACAATAATAATAAGAAAAATAATAATAGTGAAAAGAATCAGATTACATCAACTGGATTGATGAATGAAGGTGATGATGAGATAATTGAATTGCGAGATGATGAAGATGAAGATTCCAATAATAATAATAATAATAAAATGAATGGTAAAAAGAAAGATGTCAAACGAAGTGTCAGTATACCGAAAGATACTAAACTTCCTTGGCTACAAAAGCTTAAAATGAAAGTGAAAGCTTAATTTGATCATTTTATCAATTCGTTAATTATTTCCCATTGAAATAAATTCTATAAAAAATTAACCGTCATTAACCCACAAGGTAGCGTGGCCGAGCGGTCTAAGGCGCTGGTTTTAGGCACCAGTCAGAAATGGCGTGGGTTCGAATCCCACCGCTGCCAGAAACTCCTTTTGGTAAAAGGCTCAACATTTCTGTTCGTAAGCTCAACACTTTCCCTTGGAGCTTCTCCTTCTCGGCTTGGACTGTGGCGAATGAGGAAAATCAATTAAATTCAAAATTAATTTTTGTCTCTAATTGATTAAAAAAAGAAGAGCAATTTAATGGTAACCAATCAAATCCATAGAAAAAGGATCATTTTTCAATTGTGTTTCGAAATAGTCAAAAATTGAATTGATTGTGAAACATTTTTTCTGCGAACAAATTTAATTACTAAACCATCTACTCTAAATTTATATTAATTAATTGTATTTTCTACGTTTTAACAAGAATATTAAAAGAGAATTTAAATTGTCCTAATTGGTGAAAATTTGATTGTTGATCGTTGAACTTTTCGAAACTTTTTCGATATTCGAGCCTTGAACAGGTTTTTTGATTGTTTCATTTTGTTTTCTAATCTAGTTACTAACACAAATACTTTTTCGGTGATTTGTCTACAATTAATCAACAATCAATAAAAGAACTGGAACTTCATCATCAGGGGAAGTGATTATCTGATCAACTTGACTCGAAATTTAATTTAGTTTGAATCGTTTTAACTGGAGAGTTTAATGTTGTTGTTCATTTGGATATTTTGGTTGAACGTGAAAATTGTGGTTACCTTTTTTTATCCAAAAGTGTCACCTATTAATTAATTGATCAATTAGTTGATTAATTTTAAATAGAATTGGAATTTAATTTGTTTTCTTTATGAGCCACCAGTCGAAGCCGAGAATCAGCTTCGAGTGTTGAGCTTAGGGACAAACAGCTTTGGCTTTTTCTCTCCCTCTCAATTCTTTGTGTTGATGGTTGATTGTTTTTTATTGTGATTCTTTTTTTCTTTTAATTAATTTAATTGTTTCTTATTCAAATATGGAGGAAAGTGAAAGTCAGTCAACTTCTGAAAAATATATTGGAAATTCGGGTTCAGGTAAGTTTAATCTCTTCTAAATTGATGGTGTGCTTTTCATTTTCAATTTCAATTTCATTTCTTATGTTCAGTAGATTTCTAATGAATAGTTTTTTCTCTTTCTTTTTTTCTCTTTTTTTTCTCTTACCTTTTCTCTTTTTTTCTATTTTTTTGTTTCTTTTTTCTACACTTTCTGTTTGGTTACATCGTAGAAAATGAAGATATCGTGTTAGATATTGGGGATCATTCTCTTGTTAAACGGAATGACAACAATTGGCGTGAGTATTTTTCTCCATTTCTCTTTTTCTCTTTCTGGTTTGATTTCTTGTTCTTTGTGCTATTGTTTGTTTCTAATCTTTTGTATTTTTTTTTTGCTTCTATTTTTGCGTTTCACTTTCGTTTAGATGATTATGATGATTCTCAGGATAGTGGGACCACCGAGAATGAACAATCAGATTCTGGCCATTCCTCTAGACCTTTACGCGAACAAGACAGATACCTGCCTATAGCAAACATCGCTCGAATAATGAAAAGATCTATCCCAAAATCGGGTAAAATTGCCAAAGATGCTAAAGAGTGTATACAAGAATGTGTCTCAGAATTTATTAGCTTTATTACTAGTGAAGCAAGTGATCGGTGTCATCAAGAGAAACGTAAAACCATCAATGGAGAAGACATTTTATTTGCCATGTCAAGTCTTGGGTTCGACAATTATATTGAACCTTTGAAAGTGTATCTACAAAAGTATCGAGAGATGATGCCCAAAGTTAAATCGGAAAGTGATCTAACTAATATTGATTTGTATTAGCGAAAAAAAAAATAATAAAATTAAACTGAGTCTATACATTTAAACTCAGAAATAAATTGATTGTTTTATTTTTTTTTAATACAGATAAAACTTTTCTTTCAATTTGTTTAATTATGGACTTTAAATGTTGGAAGAAAATTTTCTTAGTGAATCAATTGGTGATGGAGATAATTTTTGTCTTGTAAATCTACAAATATACTTGATTATTAAGTAGATATTCATGATAATGGTAATTGTGACACACAAAACAAAAACTAACCAACTAGTTTTTTTTGTTGTTGTTGAATTGAGACTCTAATTTAATATTCTTTGAGGTGATGTAGACCATAATTGATCAAATTTTGAAAATGAGACCAACTCGATTTTATCTAATGAAAGATAATCATGTATTCCAGATTAAATGAAAATCTATCGTTCGGTGAAAATGGATCCTTTTCAAATTGAAGAAAAAAAAACTGGAACTATTTCAAATCATTTGACTAAACTGATGAGAGTCATTGATTGTCCAATAAAATGGAATACAGATTTGATTGAAGAAAATCAATCCTTTTTAAACTTGATATTCTTGGAATTAGAAGAGATTAATTGTTAGTGTGATTTTTTTGTTTCATGTTAGCGCTTGTACCTTGGTCACCAACATGTTTTCTCTTTCCTTCGATTATCACTCCAATTCAGTCCAAGCAAATGTCATGTCTTAAGCTTTTTTTGAATAGTTGAGTTATTTTTTTTTTGGTCTTTTCTGGTTTGTTGTTTGATTTCAAACGTTATTAATGTTTTCATTTCTTTTTGATAGCTTTTTTTGGTGGAATCCATCGAAGACAAGAAACGTCCACGGTTAACCTTTGCTTCTTGTATTGGGCACTTTTAAGATGCTCTTCAACCAGTTTAGATGTCACACAAATCACATGTTGACCTTTCCAGTATTTGACCATGTTCAATGATTGAAGAGTTGAAATGATGTCACTTTGAGTAATTGATGTCATCTGACTTAGATCACGAATAGATAAGGTACCACGAAAATCTCGAAGAATTTCCAATAATACAAAAGACCAGTAACTTCGATAACTTAATTTACCAAGATCAGAGAGCGGTTTTTCCGGTGATCCAATGACATTTTCTAATTTGGATACTTCATAACTGAAAGCGATTAAAAATTTTCCATATCCTTTCCGTTGATAAGGTGGTAAAGTCAAAATACAGGCCAAATTATTTCCATCAGGAGATTCTTTCTCTTTTGAAAAGTAACCCACCAAATGGGCTCCTTGATTGTCAACCTCACAAAGAATATAGAATAGGAAAGGTTCAACATCGAAAAAAAGTGTTTTATGATCGAGAAAAAGTTTAGCCAAAAGGCACAAATTTTGTGAATAAATTTTGTGCTCTTTTCCATCCACTTCGTAAACAGAAATTGTTCCTTTTCGGTAAATCTCTTTTCCGGGTGGTTGTCTCCAAACGCAGGTCGCTTGATGGTAACGATAAGTTTTCTCAAGTCTCATGTATTTAATACAATATTCACAGATCCATAATTTTGGTTGTTTACCATAATCTTCAGGGAATGGTGAAAAATACCATGCATCTATTTCATATTTTCCAAATTGAATTTTATCTACATATTTAACCTTGGTGATAGCTTCATGTTCCCGCTCTAAAGCAGCTGTGGTGGGATCCATTTCGGCGAATGTTTTTTGAACATGGTTGATTTCATCGTGTTTTCTTTTCTGATTACGAGTAATTTTTCTCTCTTGTTTACCATCATCGGTAATTTGTGGTGTTATAACAGCCGATTCTTTAGCAGCCCTCGCATCAGCTTCCGCTTTGGCACGACTTCCAGAGCTTATATCAACTCTATCACGGCCAACCCATTCATCAAGACGACGATTTAATCCCTCATAATGAACATAATACTCATAACGTCCTCCTTCTTGAGGATTTGATCGAACCTCAATCACCTCAGCAGAATCTGTAAAAGTAGAAAGCAAAAAAAAAATTAGTAACAAGAAAAATGGCACAACAATAAGAGATTAAGTCAGAGATCAAGAGAAAAAAAATACTCACGCCAAGTGTTGTCACTCCGTTTAACAAGAAAATGATCCCCAATGTCTAACACGATATCCTCATTTTCTACGTATTATGTGTGGAAACAGAGAAAGTGTAAAAAAGTAGCAGGGAAAAAAAGGAGGTAAGAGAAAGAAAAGAGAAAAAAGAAAGAGGAAAAAACCATTCATTAGAAATTCTATTCAACATTACATAAGAAAAAATGGAAATGAAAAGCACACCATCAATTTAGAAGAGATTAAACTTACCTGAACCCGAATTTCCAATATTATTTTCAGAAGTTGACTGACTTTCACTTTCCTCCATATTTGAATAAGAAACAATTAAATTAATTAAAAGAAAAAAAGAATCACAATAAAAAACAATCAACCATCAACACAAAGAATTGAGAGGGAGAGAAACAAAGAGTTTCTTTCAATTAGAAAAAAAGAGAAAAAGACACAACATAAAAAAGTTCTTTTCCAAACCACAAGATGGAGCCACTTTTCGATTTAGAAAAAAAAGAGAATTTAAATTCTATTCCAAATCTAATTGTTCCAAAAAGCATTTTAATCACTCATAAGTTACATCTTGGAAATTTCTCAATTGTGATCAATTCAATTTCTCTTAATTATGGAAAAGAGTAAATATCAAAGTCGACCAAAGGAATAACCAATTGTCTCGGTGATTAAATAATAGAAAATGAATTTGCTCTGTTAATAGTAATTATAAGCTATTTCTAGAGTGAGTCTCATTATCTTGCTGTTGATTGAATTACTCTTTTTGATGATAACTCTCTCTCTTTTTTTTGTTCCATCAGTCAGACTCAGTTAATTTCGCTATTTGTTTGTTGTTTTTTTACTCTGTTGATGTTTCCCTTTTACTCTCTCTCTCTCTTTCTCTTCATTCATTTATCTTCCTCTTTTCAATCTTTTTCTCCCACTCACATTTCTCTTTTTCTCTCCCTCCATTTGTAGGTAAAGATCGATAAATAAAAAAACATTCTTTCAAGACTCTGGCTGAATTGGACCTTTTGCAAGGTCAACTAACTAAATCCAATATCTATTTCGTGGTTATCCTTTTTATTGGTTTCTTATTTACGATTAGGTTAATTGTGACTGTTAAACGACCTCTTGTTACCATTATTATGCCTGTTCCATCATCTTCATATCGAAGTAATTACCGGGGAACCTCTGGTAGTGCATTTGGTTTTGGTTCTTCGTCATCTTCCTCATCCTCATCATCAACTATTTCTTCATCCTCATCCCTTTTATCAAATTCTATTGGTGCAAGTAAATCAAAACCTCCAATATCGTCAAATACTTTTCCATCATCGTACCGAAATTCTGGTTCCTTTGATTACACTTCACCTTCAATCTATTCAACTTATCGAGCCTCAGCTTCTAACCGATCACCATCTTCATCTTCATCATCTTCTTCATCATCTTCATCTTCTTTATCCTCTCTATCTACATCTTCTTATCATCATTCACCTTCTTCATATTTGACATCACTCTCATCATCATCTTCTTACTATCGACCCTCAAGTCTTTTATCATCTAATTCATC